ACTCTTTGACAGTGACACAGAAGAAAACAGTCTGGTAAAATTCTTTGGGCAGTGTTTGGTTAGTTCCTAAAAACCTAATTCCATAAGCTACTCTGGGAAGAAAGATGAGAAGGAGAGTCTAGAATCAAATAACCACAGGGAATATTATAAGCACTGGCCCCTGAAAGGTTCGGCGGGGTAAAGAAAAGAAGAGCCAGGCCAAATTTCTCAAAGGCAGGGAAAATTCATTGTACCCCTGGGCAGGATTCAAGGACACAAGGTGGGAGTCAGTGAAGTTGCTCACATTGCCAGGGGGAGGCAGGCTTTTATAGGATGAGGAGAGGTCAGGTGAGAAGCTAGGTTTGAGGGGGAGGGAGTTTGTAGGGCTTGAAAAGATTTGTAGGGAGGGGAGAGGTTCATTGTCTGATTTTTGCTAGGCAGGTTTCTGCATTCCTGCCCCAAGGTGGGCTTCCTGGTGGGCTTGTGGGCTTTTGCATTCCTGTCCCCTGCATGGACTTTTCAGTATCCTCTAAAGATTTATAATGTGTATTATTAGCATATGCTGATCTTGTAGAAAGTCCTGATGTAAAAAATCTGGCTAATTTATTTTTTATTAAAAAAATTTGATTGAAAAATTTTAATTATATTTTTATTTTAATATTTCAATAATATTTAATATTTATTATACTTATAATATTTAATGTTTAATGTTTATAATAATATTTAATTATATATACATTTTATATATTTTTTTTACATTTTTTCATTTTTGCACAATGTATGCATTTTCATCTTGGTTATATTCCCCATACAATTCCAACCCTCCCTTATTTTGACCCTATTCCCTCCTTTCCTCCCTCCTCTCCCCCATAGTGTATCTCTGGTTTATAGTTGCTTGTTGATTTTGATTTTTACTTTATTATAACTTTTTAAAATTTATTTATTTATTTATTTATACAAGCATTGGGTACAGTCAGAAGCGTGGGAGGGTGAGAGAATTCACCAGAGCCAGAGCGGGGAGCAGAGCAGGCAGACTGACGAAACACACTGCTGAGGGGAGCAGAGGGCACGGCAGGAGAGGTCTGCGCACCATGTGGGACCCTCGCCAGCGGCCAGGGATCGAACCAGCGCTGCAGAGGCTATGGGCAGCTTTGCAGCCCAGTGTTCAACAGCTGCGCCACCAGAAGAGGCCCTATAATTTATTTTTAATCCCATACTTCTCCAACTTATTTAAATATGAATCTTAACTATATGTAACACCTATTAACATCTAATTCTCAGAACACTTTGGGAAATGCTGGGTTTAAGAGATAATGCTTTCAGAGAAGAAGTGTTCTGGTACATGGTGAAGGCAGAAGTTGGAAAAACACAGTAGGGAAAGAGATAGTAAGAATTTTTAAAAATACTAATGAAGTGTAATATTTGTTGAATACTTACTATGTAGAGCAAATAGTATGCAAGCATTTTACATAAATTATTAGCTTACTTAACTTTTATAATAATATTAAGAAGTAGGTACTATTGTTGATTAAAGTTCAAAGAAGTTAAATATGCTGTGGACAAGTAGCATCATGTCTGCCTGGGCTACTTTAGATTCTCCCCCTTAACTACTATGCAACTACCACAAAGTGACATCTGCTCTACTTCTCCTGGTAGAACTGGTGACAAAATGGTAACATTGTCTTCCTTATTGCTCTTACCTTTTCTCCTGATGTTTTCCTTTCCTTTCCCTTCCTTCTTCCCAGAATATACTCTGTCTACACTACTATTCACTGAGAGGGTTGGCCCCTGAATTTCAGAAATGAGTCAGAACCAATCCTGGATCTTTTTCTCAAAGAGCCTATAGTCTAGCTCATTGAACTAAGTCAATCAGCTTCCAAGTCCTGGGGCAGATTAACAAGCATATGAAAAAACAACTCCATGGAACACATTAAAAGTTACTAAGGTAGTACTGCTTTTCCAGTGCTGCTTTTCCATTTCTAAGCTTAAACCTTTAGAAAAAAAAATATGTTGCACCATGGAGAAAGAAGAGAAAGTTTCACATAAAAACCACCAAATTAAAGTTGTTTTGTTAATTGGATTTATTAGCGAGACTTGGGGGTATGTACACCTGTCCCCTATTTCAAATATTCCCAAGGTTCTGGAAGATGAGCAATACACCAATCTGGCTACATGCCAAGAAGCTATCTGGGGAAATGAGTATAAAATTTCACTCACATGGGGGTTACAAAATAAATATAATTGAAGGAAGAAATAAGCTTTGTCCCTACCTTTAAAAAAAAAATAAGTTCTCTGTACCTTCCTAAATCAGTGTTCTGTGTCTGCCTCATGGTGGAGATGGGGAGGCAAATTAAAGACTAGGAAGGGAGGAGGAGAGGAAAAGTGGACCTAGGGGACTTGGATAGGACAATGGAGTCACACTATCCCCACAATAACAGAAGTTCAGGGCATCTACATCCTCTGACACATGGTTCAGCTTTAGGAAGCCACCTACAGCTTCCTCATGGTCTCATGGTGCTCTCACCACTATAAAACCTTTGGCTGACCTAGGGAAGTATTTCTGATCTCTCCAGTGGATAAGAAGTCTCAGGCCTGCCATCATCATGTTGGAGATTGTTACTGAGGGAGGAGAGGTGAAGGTAAGGCTCTACTTGAAATTCAACTTGTGCTGCATAAAGAATGATGCACATGAAAAATTGATCACGACACTATACCCAGGCAAATATTATTAATAATGTAGTATTTAAACACACAATATATCCCTCTTAATGATGAAAAGAAACCCAAGGTCACAACAAATAAAAGTCATTCCAATGAGATTAAAAAAAAAAAGAGAATTTCTCTGTATGAATCACTCCACAATAGTTTTTTTTATACCATCATCTAGCAAAGTTAAGTAGCCTTTTTATCAAGACAAGGAGCACAGCCATTCTCAACAGGAATATTTCATGCCACTAGGCAGTTGCAGAAAAGAGAACCCAGAGGCACTAACCATCCTTTTTGTAATCTACTCATCTATAAAATGGAGATAGTACCTAAACAATGGGACTGTTATAACGATTATTATAAAAAGATAATACTTTAGTAGTATATAAATTTTAGTTCTCCTTCCTTTAGTCTATTTGCTTGGAAGTGAAGTTAAATAGTGAATTTTCAAAGTCACAGGAAAGGTCTATACATGGGCAAAAGAAAGTGGACCGCATAGTACATAACCTCAGCACTTATCCTGAGTACAAACTTCCTGTGAATCATTAACTCCCCCCCCCCTCCTCTAATGTAGTCAAAGTCTCAGGCTTCTGCAGTGACACTAAGAAGCAGGTAAGAAGCAGAAGTGCAAAAAAAACTGGGCCAGAAGCTGGGTTTTGATTCTTTAGGTGGACAGAGGCAAATTTCCCCTACCCTGTAAGTTCTTCTTGTGCTAGAGGAACAAACAAAACACATCAGGCCAATTAGTAGGAGAAAAGACAGATTTAATTTTATATTTGTGGAGAATTTACATGACTGAGAGCTCCAAAGTAAATGGGATTATATTCTGCGCTAAATATTGGGATAGGGGCCTAGGGCATCCTGAAGAGAGGAAGAGAAGTCACATGATAAGGAGGTGATGATTTCATATGGCAAAACCTTGGCTCCTTTGTTTACCCTGCTTTTGGATAGGTTTCTCTGATAAAAGATTATTTCTGGAGATGACCCTATATTTAGAGTAATCTTTATTTTTAAAGCTATAGTAACTATTTCTCCCAAGGCCCACAGGGCCTTAATTCACCTTAGTTCCACAAATCAAGGTGACACATACTGGAAAATGACACATACTCTGGACATCTTATAAAACAACTGTCTGAATGGGGTGGGGGCCTATCCTACAATCCCAGTCTATTAGTAAGGTACTCCCTCTTTCTGGGCTTCTGTTTCCCCATCTACAAAATGAGGACACTTCTATATAATCTCCTGTCACCAAGTTGCAATTCTGAATGTTCCAATCATCTGGTAAGGCAAATAACTAAAATTATGGAATTTTGAGTTTTCATAAGATCTGGGTTGAAATACATCTCCACATACCTGCAGTAAGACATTGGTCAAGTTACTTAATCCCTCTAAGTTCCAGATTCCTGAGTGTTTAATGAGAAAATAATAGTTCCTACCTCAGAGATTAATTTTGAATGTGACATAACATAGCTAGTAAGGGAAAGATGTGGAAACCACATCCAGATCAGTATAATTTCAAAAACTATGCTCTTTCCACTACAATAGTAGAGAAAATCAACATGTCTACAAAGCCAGTAGCATATAACAGAATCACAAACTTTCTGCTATTGAATGAAAGAAAAAGAGAAACTAACACTGTTTATGGAAGAAAACAGCAAGTTGTTCCATCATGAAAAGAACTCTATACTCAAGACCAGGAACTTGAAACACTTAACCTTTCTGGGTCTCAATTTCTTTTCCTCTAAAATAGGGAAAGCAAGAAAATCATTTTAGAGAGCATAGATGAGGGATGCATATAAGCACTGTTCATAGTACTCAGGAAATAATAAAAACTCAATAGGTAGCTACTGCTGTTATTATTATTACAGTAAGTTCTCTTAACAACATTACATATTATTATAAATGATCAAAACTATCCAGAAAGACCAAGAAGGCCCACAAGTTGCTGTCAACCTTAAAAGAATAAGAAACCAAGAACAGTGTTTTCTATGGACTTTTCTACTTCTATATTACAAAAGAAAGAGTCTGGAAACCATGTGCTTTGGCCTTCAACCAGGCTTTATTCTCAGAGGCATTATTTACATTTCAGATTTATTATTGTCTTCTATGGTGCTGACATGAAATAACCTTCCATTCTCTTCCATGTTAAAAAGAGTACAGTGTTTCTTGGCTCAATAAATAATTCAGGGCAATATTAATATTTTAAGAAGAATAAGCAATGTATTTTGGACCCTAGCAAAACCATGAAGACTGAAATTAGTTATTTGTAGCTGAAAACTTAATTGAACCAACATATTGATTGTTTTTTCTTCCAGGTTTTATTGCTCACACAATGAAGAGGAGTGCCTGCTTCCATTCCAAATGCTGCATACGTAATTATATCTGCTAGATTTTGTTTTTATGAAAACTCAAAGCATCCAACCATGAACTTAAATGCTTTTGCCTGCATGATGCTAAACATAGAACCACTCCCCTTCCCTTTCAACAATGTACTCGTCTTCATATACATTTTGTTAAGGATGATGGATATTACATTTTCATAAATACTATATTTCTGAGTTAGCATTATATCCTGGCTAAAGAAGGAGAAAATAACTATAATTTATTTTTATCTGGTGTGTCTCAGATCTTATGTATTTATGATTTTATTTAATACTTAATATAACACTCCTTTATGGGTAATACCTTCTCCTTTCAAAGATAAAGAAATTGAGGTTCAATGCAGCTCAGTAATTTCTTCAATGTCACCCAAAAAGTACATCCAACCCTAAAGCCTAAGCTTTTCCCCTACCAACATATCTCATAGTACTAATGCTGATAATAACAGATAAGATAAAAATGAGCATTTACTATATGTCTGACACCATTTTAAGATGTATATATGCATTAATTCAACAATCCTTTGAGATAGGGGCTATTTTTATTCCATTCTACAGTTCCGGAAAATAAAAATAAAAGAGGTTGTCCCTAGTTTCTTTGATAATAAGCAGTGGAGCCAAAGTTTGAAGTCATACTGTCTGATGCCAGGACTCAGTCTCTTAATCATTATATACATCATACACTTAGATATCAAAATCTAGGAAAAGAGGAGAATGAGCTTTAAATTAGGTAAAACAAGACCACCAGGAGGGCATAAGAGTTCTATATGGGACATTAAACAGATTTCTAATCAAGATCAGTCACTATGACATGAAACTCACAGATAATGGAGTTGGCAATGTTAATAATGTTCATTTCTGGATGTTGTCTGGGATATTTGCTGCAAACATGACCTTCCTGGTTGATCTGTCAAATGTGGCCTACGCAGAAAACAATGGATGTCTTCCAATAGACCTTTTGATCACACTTTGGTTATTTGCCTAAGTGTCAGTCTTTTATTTGAAAAGTTAATCAGTTCCCAACTTGTTAACTGAACTAAATGCAAAAGAAAAATGAATTTTATTTTTGGTAGAGTTGCACACATAAGCATACCTTTGTGTACTTCTGCACAGATGTGCACACATACACATGGTTTCCGGTCTTCTCAGTCACTGGAAAGAGCTGTTGCAGTCTGAATCTGAAAGCACACTCTTTGCAAGAAAGACTACTTATGGACAGGTAGACTTGGCTCAAGTTGGAAGAATCTAGATTAATGATGTTTGAGTCCAATTTAAGTGTCATGCCCTTTGCAGATTCTCTTACTCTTATTTGCTACCTCTGCAGGTTCAACAATCTCAAATCAGTTTTTTTACTTCAGTGTAGTCATGGGCTTCTAGATCCCACATTTCCTTTGTTGAATAAATCAGAATAACAGCTTCCCATTCTTATATTTGGGTTTATCCTCACTCCAGTCATATAAATAGAGAAGACAATAGGCAAGAAATTCCAAGCTCAGTTACAAGTGCAAGAGATGAGTCAAAACTCTGAAAGAGGTATATACATATCAATTTCTCTTACACTTGAGAAAACATAGTAATATATTAGTTATATATTTCTGTATGACAAATTACTCTAAAATGTAATAGCTTATAATAGCAATAATTTGTTATCTCTCACAGTTTCTGAGTGCCAGGAGCCTGGAATGGTTTAATAGGATTGTTCTAGTTCAGGGTATCTCATGAGGTTTTAATCAAGTGATCTGATTAGGCTGCAGTCATCTGAAAACTTGGCTAGGGTTAGAAGATACTTTTCAATGTTTATTCATACAGCTATTGGCTGGAGGTTTCAGTTCCTTGCCACATGTGTCTCTACATAGAACTTTCATGGCACGGCAACTGGCTGCAGCCAAAGCAAGGTTTCCAATAGAAAAAGTGAGAGAGAGACAGTGAAACCACAGCAGAACCTGTGGTGTCTTTTATAACCTTATCTCAAAAATGCCATATTTTATTCATCACACATGCTAACGATTATAGGGTCACTTGGAGCCATCTTGAACACTGACTATCATAAAAATCAAACAATAAAATCCAATCACTAGAAGATAATTGAATGATATTTCTCACCATTCAGACTACCATCCTTTGGAACAAAGAGACAATGAAAAGAATTAACTTTCATGTAGGTTAATTGGTTGTTGAAGGAATATAGTTCTAGTCAGGGTTAACTATATAATTTTCAAAACTTCTTGAGACTTGCTTAAATTTGGAAGATCAGCTCCTTTGGGTTTCTATCAATGAGACAATCGGAGATAGCCAAGCATCAGTGATTACAGCAGACCAGATTCAGAACTTAGTTATTTAGGGAATGATATATTTCCTTCTCAATTCCATTATCATTTTAATAAGTATATGCAGGCAGTTGGCATTTGTTATTTGTATCATTACAACTACCTGTCAAAAGGGTTTTTAGGTCATGTTTTGCAGATGAAGAAACTTAAGCCGAAGAGATTTGGTTGTTTGCCCAGAAAAGTCCATGACAGGGCAAGTCTGAGAGCTCCAAGAAGAGAAGTCTTACGACAATTGTTTTTAGATAATTCTATGTTGCCTCCATTGAAATGAAGTGATAAATAATAATTTTTGGTTTTCTAGATGGATGTTAAATTGTAGTTCCATTGTGTTTCAAATTATTCTCTTTGATAAACATTATACGGTAAAGTATTAAGATAAAGAAATGCGAATTTTAAGTTAATTCTTAGTCATATAACATGGTTTATGTCCTTAATCTATCCTAGCTTGTCTCAGCTACTCACAATATGTATAAAGAAACCTGCAGGTTGTATTGTCCCTCTGTAGAACTACAAGAAACATCCTGGTACTAGAGCATCAAAATAGGTTTGATTATTAACTGCCTGATATGTGAAGCAGCAATGAACCAATTTTGATGCAGTGTGGCATTCGCTCACTCCTGTGGAGCATCTGATATTCCCAAGGAGAAATCAGGCTGCATATGGTCTATCTTCAGCCACAGTCTCTTAATGGTACTGAAATTTATATAGGATTTCTAACTTTTCTTCTCATGATACAATAAAATATAATAGTTATTTGAGCACAGATGTGTTCTAGAGTCAGATTATCTATATGGGAATTCTGAGTCCACCACTGATTAATTTGGCATGATACTTAGCTTCTTTTGTTCTTAAATTTCCTTGTTTTTAAAAGGAAGGTAAAAATAGCATTTATTTCATAAGGCTGTTACGATAATAAAATAAATCGATACATATTAAGTTCTTAGAAGAGTTCTTGATATTTCATAAACTCAATAGGTTTTAATTCCTTGACACTCAGAGTATAGTTCATAAACCAGTGGTGTTGGCATTACCTTGGAGCCTGTTGGAATGAGGCATTTAGTGTTACACAACCAAACTATGGAATCAGGATTTATATTTTATTAAGATCCCCAGGTGATCTATATGTACATTAAAGGTTGAAAATGTTCATTTAACTGACATCATTCATCACCAATATCACCATCTCTAGACTTTCTGATTTCTGCACCTTGAGTTTCACGCCTTGATACTCTTCTAGTCCTGCCTGGTCCTTTGTGATTGGTGATGCCAATCTACTTGGATTTTTGATTTTATATTTCACCTAAGACTCTTAATTTTCCCTTTTAGTTTCCCAAACTACAGTCTGCCTATAGGGAAGTGACATTGCACTGTTCCAGTAACAGTTCATAAAATATTGCTGCATGCCTAAAGTTTAGCAGTCCCTCCTAGGATCCTTCTTCTTAGGAAGGAGTCATTTAGAAAGTACTTTTTAATTGTGTGACCTTAAAAAAGTTCAGTTCTGGGTCTCGCTGAGTCTCCTTTTTCTATCTGCAAAATGAAGATAAAATTACCCTTACTAGTTGTTTAATTTCTTACTAGCTGTTCGATATTAGGTAGTTATTTAACCTACATGAGGTTATTTAACTTTGGTAAGCTAATTTTTTCTCATCTGAGACATAGAGATAATGGTATCATTTCAGATAATTATGAAGCTTGAGATAAAATACACTAAGTACCTAGGATTATATACCATGCAACAATATCCATTTGTTACTATACTAATGAAATCATAACATTATGATGATGATGACATATTTCATATTTTCATGATGTCCCTGAAAACTAGTTTGTTGGATACTTGAAACCTCCCAAATATTTGCCACATATGTCTAGAGTTACGTTAAAAGAAGCCTAACATGCTTGCAAGTAATATGGGTCATTCACATGTTGATATGTGAATAAGTGATCAAATGAATGAATACTTCATGTTTTACATGAATCAAGGGTAATATTTATTTTTCTTGCACATGAGAAAAAAATATAAACCTCTCAACTGAACATTTGTAATTTTATAGTAAGTGGGCTTTTGTCAAGTTGATGTTTCATGAATGCCTAAACAGACGTGCCATTCCAGTCAAACCAATGTAATAAGCTTATCCTTTGAACTATGTTTAGTAAGAGAGTTTGGGCATTAAAATGTCTGACATGAATTTGAATAATAACTCTCTAATTTGCTATCTGTGATATCTAACATAGGTCCCTTAACTATTGTGAATTTTGGTTTTATCTGCTGTTAAAGAGAGAATATTAGTCCTCAAAACCATTGAGATTTCAGTAAGATGATTTATATAAAAGTTGGTACTAGTTTTCACTCCCACCAGCAGTGCAGGAGAGTTCCTTTTGCTCCACATCCTTGCCAACATTTATTGTTGCTAGTTTTTTTTTTTTAATATGTGCCATTCTCACTGGTGTAAGATGGTATCTCATGGTAGTTTTGATTTGCATTTCCCTGATTACAAGTGATGTTGAACATTTTTTCATATGCCTGTTGGCCATTTGCATTTCCTCTTCAGAGAAGTTTCTTTTTAGCTCTTGTGCCCATTTTTTGACTGAATTATTTTCTTTGTTATTGTTGAGTCTCATCAGCTCTTTGCAGATTTTTGTGATCAGTCCTTTATCATTAGTGTT